AGGCAAGATAATGAATCGTCTGCTATCATGGATAAAGAGAAATTTCTGAGTGATAAGGTGCTAGCTAGATCAAGGAGCTGTGGTAACGTTGATTGATTTGCGAAGGAATTGATCTGACTAAGATCTTATTGATTTGATTGATTCAGATCTTATTGATCTTAAGATTAAGATCTGACTAAGATTTTAATCGTATTGATCTGATTGATTTGCGAACGAAAAGATTTTGTTCCGATTCCAAGCTCTTGAGAGGCTTGTGTGAAAGTTTCGCTGGTGCCAACCAGCCCTCCCTAATAGATTTGCTGGATATGCTTTGGCTTGTTTACGGGGTAGAATTTGATGATCAGCCATCTGATTTGATCTTAAAAAATTGATCATTTGAACAAATCACAAATTTCAGTATATGGCAGCATTTGATATGTTCTTATCAAACTGTACCGGATACACGGAAAACATAAAAATAGAAATTGGTGATCATACCTATGAAATCGAACCGATCAACTACATTGTTGAGGTTTGCTATGCAAAGCACTTTCATTTGCATTCATTTCATTGATCACCTCATTTTGATAGCCTAAAGCATATCGGAATTAAGCGTTGCCGTCCCGATCCACCAAAATCACTAAATTTTCCAAATAGTCGGTGAAATATCCAATCCTGATGTGAGTAAACATCAAGTTAGATAAATCCTTGAATCTGTAGACACCATTCGAGATTTGATTTGAAGTAAATTTATCGGCACATTCAACTTTTAAGTGTTTATCTGCTCTCTGATTCAGCATCCATCAGCACAGCATTAGTTTGCAAATGATGATTGCTTCAAACATTCTTAAGACAAGACTATGAAAAAGAGTTAATATCATTCAACCACCGGCATGACGAAGTGTTTTGACGAAATTTGGACACTGAACAAGTGGTGTGGGCCTGAATAGGCTAGGAGATCATCTTAAGAGAGCAAGGACTGTCGAGGATGCCACCATGGGCAAGTAAGTAAGTTACAGGAAGGAATGCAAATTCCAGGTTGAATCAGGTACGTGTGCGCTCACGATGTTTACGATGGACAGTATGGGATTTGGACCGCAGTTCATCCTGGGTGATCCGTTTATCCGCTCATACTGTAACATTCATGATTTCGGCAAGAAGCGGATCGGTTTCGCGAAGCCAAAACAACCTCAGCACTAACTGACAAGTTCACTCGAGTTGCATTGATATCACAGTGTTTGGATTGCTTGATCAAGTGATTTTATTGATTGATTGATTGGATTGCTTGTTTTTAAATCTCAAATATCTGCACATGTAAAATAAACAGTCAAAAACTTTCACTTTACCCTGTACTGTGTGTCGTTTGTGAATAAATATGATAGAAGGTTACCTCCAACAGATCAGGGAAAGGATAATGATCACTCAAATGATCAAATGATCACGTCTCCGAGCCTTTGGCTATTAGCTTGCGAGCTACCTGCATAGTGATCTCAATCGCACTTGCGTCATTTGGCGAACTGTCGTCACTCCATTCATATTTGGCGAAGTGTCCCCGACTTGCCAAATGTCGGACGTGCAATTGTCGTGAGTGCATTTGTCGCACACCCTTGCATTCACCAATGGAATGAATATACAAATTAATCATTTGATAATCACAATAATTATACTGCAAATGTTACCAAATTCTTCCGTTCGTCGTCAAATCATGGTTTCCGTCCAATCAGATGGGCAACCAATGCTATTGACAACTGCAATATCATGATCATGCATTTGATCAGCACTCGATTGATTTTGATCATTGATTTTGATCGGAATCATTTGCTTTTTTGATCAGAATTCATTGAGTTTTCGCACGAATCTTCATTATTCATCTCTTAGAAATAATAGTTTCGTGGTGATAGATCAAGGAAAATGATGATGATAGCAATCTGTTTCGCTTAGGAATGAGGCCATCCGTGGTGAGGTGTGTACGTATGAGACGTTTTCTGCCGTCCATATTCCAAAAATCAGCCGCCGCTCCAAACTCAGCTGCCGAAGGCGCAGATGATCCGTCATTATCAAAACAACAGCAGGTACTTCGATAGTGATCAGCAATGATCAAAATGATGATCAATGAAAGTTATAATCAAAAACAATAATATTGATTGATAGTAATGATCAGTGTAATGTTTTCCGTGCACCATGGCTGGCGTAATGTGTGCCCTGGAAGTCTAATAAATCCGATTGACCTCCCCCCCCCCCCCCCCCCCCCCCCCCCCCCTNATGAATTAAGTTATTTTTAAGGAACGGTTGAAAGGAGCACTAGAAAAGCTACGGATTGATGAGCCAAGGGTAAGGGCGATGGCAAATGAAGAGAATGAACTGGAGGCATTTGATTCGGGGGATATACTCGATGATGGTGGCATTAATATGGATTCGATACGGGCTAGAGGGTTGGTGCTATTTTATTCAGTTTTGTTATTTTGTTTATTATTTATTGTTATTATTGTTAACGAAATTGATACAAATAAGTAATTACTAATTACTGGCTACTGTTTTAGATTTCTGCGCTACCGATATAATTATGAGCCTCCGAAAGATCTGGAGCAACGTTTCAAGGATGTGATATCGAAGGAATTCTCAACGGAATGGGGACAGTTAGTGAAAGACGATGGGGATGTGAGGCGGATTGATCTGACGAAAAATATCCGCTTGAAGTTTAAGGTAAACGCGAGTTTGGACGGGGTCTTATTGATTTTGTTTGTATGATTATGCAGATCAAGTGATCGATATTAGTAGATAGATTGATTTTTTGATATTAATTTAAAATTAATTAATTGTTTAATTTAATTAATNTTTCAGTTATTGGACCTAATTGGTCGAACCTTCAAGCATATCGTACCGAATAACGAGCTGCATCGTATGCAAAGTGTAGGTGATGTAATGCAGTTTTATGCACAACCGGTTAGTAATATAACCGAATATGCGAGAATGGCAAGAGAGTCCGGGAAACACGGCGGGTATGTGAGAAGTTTCCCGGGCAATTTGCATGTTATGGAACATCCGGTGAGATTTCACCCGCAAGACAAGGAAGCTTACCATGGCGGTGGGTAATTTTTTGTTGTTGTTGTTTTTATTGTTATTGTTATTATTAATGTTATCATTATGATTATTATTATTATTGTTATTATTATTGTGTTTTATTGTTGTTGTTTTTATTATTTTAAAATTGCTGCAATTGGATTTATACTACAATGAAATCATTACACTCTGTTAGATCACTGATTTTCGATCATTTGCTATTATTATTATTATTGTTAATATGATGTGTACGATAAAAATCATGTTTAAGTGATCATTACCGATGCGGTGGCGTGACCTGAATTTGATTTCAGGTGTAACCGCGTATCCAGGACGAGGAGGCCAGGTGCTTGGCTTAAGGAATAAACGTTTATATCGGCAGTTCCAACCGAAAGAGGAGTGGTTCGACTACGAGGATCAGTCGTTTGACTACAATCGGGTGGATAAGGATATGCCTTGGGATCCGGAGATCTCGAAACGGATGGATCGATATCCGACGAAGAAATATCATCTGGCAACGAAGGCGTTCAAGAGGATTGCAACGAAAAAAACCGAGACCATGAGCATGGCTGATAGTTAACGATGTTTAGGTGTTATTTTGTTTATTGTGTTGTGTATATATAAATGAGTGTTAATTAATTAATGTTAATTGTCATTAAACTATAGAGGTATTGTTAATTATTATTGTTGGTGGTTTATTTGCGATGTGCATTCGATTGGTGAGTAGGAGAATAAAATTTGGTGCTTATGATCGTTATGGTGTTGGGTGGCTGCTGAAATTAGACGATTCGCGTAGCGCAGATCGCTGATTGCTTATCTGATCTGATCGGATTGATTCATGTGCTCTCGAAATACTGATCTGATCGGATTGATTCATGTGCTCTCGAAATACTGAT